GTGCTGCTGTCCGTTCTGCGCTTATCATAGCGGTCCATCACTATTATATCTCTCTTATCAATGTTGTTTTTTTATTTATCTGTTTTTGATGAAGTTTCAGTCATTGGATGAAGGACATGAGGGAAGAGATTTGGATCCTGTAATGTTGTCTCTCTCCTACTGTTTGAGCTGCACTAAAAATAATTGTTGGATTCATGATAAATTTTTGTCTCTTTTACTTGGCAGTATTTATTTACTTTTCCAACCATTAGATTTATGGCAAGATGGAAGGCTGCTTGCAAAAAGCAGAAGATGATCTATTATCTGAGGGAAGGCATAACATAAAGAGCAAGATACGATCTTCTCTATTGTTTCACAATATTCTTCTGGTTAGCTTTACCTTTTCACTTCACTCACAGTCACACACCTTGTTTTGCCTTTGATTTCGATGTTTTTCTTAATCTCACACTATGTTTTTCTACATTGGAATATAGTAATATGCTTTACTTAAAAATTTACAGTTGTAATATATGAATTTTTTTTTTACGTTTATGCCACAATGCTGAAAAAATTATACCAAAATGCCATTGTCTCAAATAAATTAACCAAACTGTCACATTTATTATTGGTCGAGCGGAAGAAGAGCTTTTTTTCTTCCTTTTTTTAATGTTATTTTATATTTAAATGTTTTTTTAATTAATTTAATTTAATTTTAATATTTAAAATTTTACTTTTAATATCAAAATTTTTAATAATATTTATAATATTAATATTTTTCAATTTAACATTTTATTTTTTATATATTAAAATTAAATAATTAAAAAAATAAAAAATAATTTTATTAATAATTATTTAAATAACTATAAATACATATTATGGTTGATTATAATTATAAAGTGCGCCAGTTTCACATTGAATGCTCTCTTTTTAAGTTTCTTCCTTGCTTAGTTGAGTTTGTTGTTTTGTAGTTAGTTACCTTAGTTTGTTCTAAAAACGTAGCAACATAAAACATTACTTTGAATGTGAGACATTTTTCATATTTTGATTGATATTAAAATAATAAAATAATATTAATATTGGGATTCTGGTAAATTGTATGGCCGAGCGCCAATTAAAAAGGTGGTATTCTGGTATAAAAAATTCCAATTTGGGAGATATTGGGAATTTTTTTCCAGTTATGTGGCGATCTAGTAAAAAATCAATCAATATTATTTTATTATTTTAGTATTAATCAAAATATGAAAATGCCACATATTCAAAATAGTGTTTCATATTTTTAAGTTTTTAAAGTAAAATGAGTTAGTTACAAGACAACATATCCAGTTAGACAAGAGAAAATGTAAAAAAAACACCTATTTTAAAACTGACACACGTCATAATTATAATCAACCCTAATATATATTTGTAGTTATTTTAACAATTATTAATAAAAAAAATTTATAAAAAATTGAAAAATGAAAAATTCTGAATTGAAAAAAATTAATATTAAAACTATTAAAAACATTATTAACAATATTAATATTAATATTATAATTAAAATTTTAAATATTAAAATTATATTATATTTACTAAAAAAATTTAAACATAAAATAATTTTTTTTTAAAAAAGGAAAAAGAAAAGCTCTTCTTCCGCTCGGTCAATAGATGGTCAAGCTTTCAAATAAGTGTTTTTATTTGAGATAGTGGCATTTTGGTATAGTTTTTTCAGCATTGTAACATAAAGGTAAAAAAAAATCATATTATATGATAGGGCTTTACAGTGAATGCCCTTTACCTCATTATTGTAGTTGTAATATATGGCTTTACAGTGAGTACTCTTTAAATGTTCGTTGAAATGTGTCTTCCAACTATTTTGTTATTTTTTGGGGAAGTGAGATTGTAGAGGTCATTTTTTGTGACTGTAAATGCACATGAATTCACTTTTTAAATGTATAGAATGTTCAGGAGAGATAGAAATCCAAGTGCATCATCAATATCAATATCAGCTTGAATGGGCTTGCATTGCTTTATCAAACTGTTTTATTTATGAAGTATTATCGACTCGAATACGACATTGACCATGATATAGCATCACCGATAATAATTTAAAAATTAAATAAATTTAAGGTAATAACAAGTGTCAGTGTACGTATAGGTGTCTGACACCTACATGAACACGTTATTTTTCAGAAGTGTCGGTGATACATAGAATTTTTTTATACATAGTTTGATTTTCCTATTGCTTATATCTCTCACAACAAAATGTTGATAACATGCTGACTTGATCACTATAAAAAACAAGTTCATTTGCGACGTGATTATCACGTCACAACAACTAAAATCACGTCACAATAATTTTTTTGTGACATGACTGATTACGCTGCAGGAAAACGTGTGACAACTTATTTGTGACGTGATTTTCATATCACAAAGTTGTGACGTGAAAATTACGTTGCAATATTTTGCACAATTATCCACAATATTACAGAAGGAGCAGGTAGAGTAGATATTGGGTCAGAAATGGCAAGACTTTTGCCACGTGATTTTCATGTCACAAATTTGTGACATAAAAATCATATCACTAATAATAATCTGAAATCAATAGTTTGCGACGTGATTATCATGTCACAAACAATTTTTTTTATAAATAAATTCTACTACCATTAAATATTAATGTATACTAAATAAATTTAAATTAAATTATGAAACCAATAAAACTAAATAAATTAATACCATTTTAAAACAAACATATCTCAAACATATAACATATACTATCAACTTGTTACAATCCTATAACATATTACATACAATTATTACATTCATAATAATATTCTGCTTTAAAAAATTGTAACATAAAATATATACTATTTTTATTATATATATATATATATATATATATATATATATATATATATATATATATATATATATATATATATATATATATATATATATATATATATATATATATATATATATATATATATATATATATATATATATATATATATATATATATATATATATATATATATATATATATATATATATATATATATATATATATATATATATATATATATATATATATATATATATATATATATATATATATATATATATATATATATATATATATATATATTGGATTTTATATATATTAAAAATATAATATAAAAATTATAACATAAAAACAATGTTTAATAAAAAAAATGTTAACATTCAACAACCAACAACCAAACAATAATACATATAAAAATTTGAAAACATAAAAAAATTAAAGTGCAAAAGTATCTCTATGAAGCTTGAATCAAACTTGTTGAATTCTTGAAGTTTAGAAAAAAATAGACCTTAAAAACGAAAAATCATAATATATAATCAAAAATTAGTTATTAATTTAAAACGAAAATAAATATATAAAAAAATACAAAAAAGAGATTTGTACCTTTGAAGATTGAATGAAATTGAGTGGAAGAAGAAGAGAATGAATAAGGTGGGTGGATGGAGGATGAGAATGAGAGAATTATGGGTTTGAGAAGAAGAGAGAAGACAAGAGGATGAGTTATGAAAGAAACGAAATTAAAAATATATAATTAAAGTAATGATGTGATTTTCACGTCGCAACTTTGCCACGTGAAAATCACGTCACACACACCAACAATTATAATTAAAGTAACGTGATTTTTTAAAAGAAACGAAATTAAAAATATATAATTAAAGTAGTGACGTGATTTTCACGTCGCAACTTTGCCACATGAAAATCACGTTACAAACATCCCTCCTAAAAAGTTTGTGACGTGAAAAATACGTCACAACATTTTAAAATTTTCAAATTTCTCTCATTCAAAAAGCCACAACGTTTTTATTTTTTATTTTAATAATTTTGTTGCGATTTAATTTATACGCCGCAACCTTTTTTTATTTTAAAAATCTGACTTCTCTTATGACTTATTATTTTAATATTCAAAAACTCTAATAAAGTGATAAACACATCGCAAATACTTTTTTTACCACGTATTTATTATGTCACTACTTTGTGTCACTAAGAACTATTTTTCTTATAATAGATTTTTTTCTTCAATCCTGATCCGAACAAAATACATATTGAGATTCTAATGGATATGGATATTTCCATATTGGATAAGAATATTGTCATCAACTTTGTTTAGTGATGATATGTGGTAAAAATAAGAGATATGAATTTTTGTATCACTATGCCAAAATTGAATTTAGACAGCGCCACATAGACAGCGCTTATGCCCTAAGCGCTGTTATAGGTTTTCAGAAGAAATTTTTTTTTAAAAATTAGAGTAAGCGCTGCTAAAGGTATACCTTAGACAGCGCTTACTAAAAGCGCTGCTAAAGTCCTTACCATAGACAGTGCTTCCTTTCCCTAAGCACTGCTATAGGTTTTTAATAAAAATAAATAAATAAGAATAAGCGCTGCTAAAGGGTATACCTTAGACAGCGCTTACTAAAAGCGCTGCTAAAGGTGTGATAAAGGGTATACCTTAGACAACGCTTTCAAGAAGCGCTGCTAAAGGCATTACACTAAAGCGCTGCTAAAGGTAATACCTTTAGCAACGCTTCTTGGAAGCGCTGTCTAAGGTAATTAAATAGTTTCTAAATCCCTAAATTGGTTATCAGAAACCCCACTTTATACAAACGAAACCCCACACACGCAATTGTCCATCTTCGTCTAACTCGTCTCCTCCCTCCTCACCGTCCAACCGTGGTTCATCTTCTTCTCCAACTCGCTTCCTGATTCATTGTATCGTTGCAAGCTTCGGATTCTCCGGTTATACGAGGCACGTGGTTCATCTTCTTCTCCAACTCGCTTCGGATTCGTTACCACCATCTCCTCGTGAAGAAGAAGTTTCACAAAACCAGTTTCACTATAAGGTAAAATTTATTCATCCTTCATTTTGTTTCATCACTTTGAATATATATGATAATCATACAATATTAAAGTGTGAGTCTTTGCTGGATTTTGTTTTCCTTATCCATTCTGCGTTTTGGTTGGATTTGCTTTCAGTTTATACATGTTTTCTCTTTTATCATTCACTATAAGTCTATTTGTTTATGCAATTATTCAACTTGAACCCAATAGATCCCTGCGTATTGTCAATAGATCACTATGTCTTGACTAGGGTACATTTTCCTATGCAAACCTGAATCATTGGGTATAGTTGTTGGTATTATCTTCTTGGTTGTGACAATCTTATTTCAGTATTTCAACTTCACAGCAGATTCAAATGTAAGTATACAATTGTAACTTACGAGTATGTTGATCTGATTACACATTACCATAATTTTAAACTGCGGTTATGGTTATGCTGCAATCTTTTATATTTCCGCAAAATGCAGCCGATTTGGTCTGTCAAAGTTGAGGTCCTGATGCCTACACAGAGGCCTCGAAGTTATTTATTCATATTCTGCCTGCAATTGCAGCTATATACTACAATTTAAAGCCATGCTCAATACAGTACTAACATCTTCACTGGGCATTTAAATATATCAGCAACTATAATTTTGCAGTGGCTTGTTGAGTACAATGCTGCTTTAGCATGCATCTTCTTCATGACATTGCTTGGATTTGTTGATGATGTCCTTGATGTCCCTTGGAGAGTGTGAGTATACAAAGTTTTCATTATTTTCTTCCACCGTTTGTTCGTGTCAACTAATGTTATAATAGTTTCTTTTTTGATTTAATGTCAATGTAAAAGAACATAAAATTACTACTTCCATCAATTGCTGCACTTCCTTTGTTAATGGCATATGCTGGACACACAACTATAGTTATACCAAAACCACTTGTACCACACATTGGCATAGAGATTTTGGATCTTGATAAGCTTTCAATACCTTTATGCAAATGACACCTGGAAAAGTACTAATTATTTTAAAATCTCACTATCTCGACTTTATTTTAATGATGCAGGATGGATATATAAACTATACATGGGGCTATTGGCTGTTTTCTGCACAAATTCGATCAATATACATGCTGGATTAAACGGCCTTGAAGTTGGACAGACGGTGGTTATCACATATGTTGTAAGTCGAAAAGCTTGTAAGAGTAAATATGTTGTACATCAAGGAGTTCTATCCTTGCTTTTATTCTACAATATCTCTGTTTTCTCTATTACTAGATACACCATCCCTTAAGGCCAACGTAGAGAATACAAAGGTGAAAAGTTTCTATTGAAAAAGAAAGTATTTATTACATCAGAGATGTAAAGTTCCATAAATAATTATTAATTTCAAATAAAGCTTTATACTTTTGTATTCTTAACGTTTGTCCTAAGGGCTAATGTTAATAGAAGAGTTTTTCTTATCATATTCATATACATAATTTGTTCATTAATGGTGTCTTTTTCTTTTACTACTTCAGGGTGCACTTGTTGCAAATTATCCTTGGGATGGTACCGATGATAAAAGGTGGTAAATCATTTTAGTGTAAGATGTTCACTGACCTGCTCTCCAGACCTGGGCTCTTGTATTTAATTAGTTTATATTGTTATGAATAAATTACAGGACGTTCTACTATGGATGTCCCGACGATGAAGCATTTCAATTCATGGCAAGTATATATAGCCACTCCCACTACAACATGTCTTCAAGCAAGGAATTTGTAGATGGAATCACAAATGGAGCAGCATGGTATGATTATTTGAAAGTAATGCATTAAAAGTTCATCACTGGAGTCTATGTTCTTTCAATATGTTCATAATTACTAAAGATATCAATGCAGGTACCCTTTATATGGAGGAATGCAAGATTGGAACTATATACACGCTGGCTGTTTCGAATTGACGTTGGAAATTAGTGACAATAAGTGGCCTGTTGCTGCAGAGGTCTGTGGGACCTTTGATGAATCTGAGCAGTAAAATGAACTGCAGCTTCCTATTATTTGGAAATACAACAAATTGAATTGTGTTGACTTCTGTTTACTTATGAATTGTAGCTTCCTATCATTTGGAAATACAACAAAATGAGTATGCTTAATCTTGTTGCAAGCCTTGTCAAGGTATATACTGTTTCTGCATATCTGCGTCGTATTTTAAAATAACAACGAATGTGTTATTGGAAAAACATAGAGTAATTATTGTGAAATATTACCACCATCCAAGGCTGTGAGTGAAGCCTTTTTCAATGTGCACTGAAATATTCAAATATGTTCCTATTTTTGAGGTTTTCGATTCCATTGCTTTTTGTTAGATTGATTAGCTTGTTTTGTTTTCTTACTCTCTAGACGAGAGTGCATGGAAGGATATATTTTTAAGAAGTTTAGGTCCGAAATCTGAGAAGTCACTTTGTGTATATCTTCTTATTTTCCAGGTGATGATTCCCATGTCGTTTGTTTGTTTATTTTTTACCATTTTGGTTTATTAATATGACTAATTTGTTAGTTGAACTATTCTTTACTATATTTTTTTTATCAGGGTATTGCGTGCGGTTTCTGTTTCTTGCTGAGGTATTTCCTTGCTGGTTGGTACAAATGAAAAACCAAGCCTGATGAGAATCACCCGAGAGGCTGAATTGTTGTATAATCAGTTTTGTAGAAAAATCATTTATAGTGTAATTGGATATAGGAATTTGTTGTGTTACTTTGCATCCCAAAATATCAACTTCAACAAATACACTCACATGTCTGGAGATGTCAAATGACCTTACAGTTTATATGTCATCCCTTCACTACAGGTTAACTTCTATTTTATGTGATTATTACTCTTGTAACACCTTAATATTATTTATTTTATGGTTCATCGATTCAAAAAGAGGCACTTTAATCAGGTTTGGAAAATCTATCAAACTATTTACGGTTTTCTCAACAGCACACAAGGTTTTTTATTTATTATACAATTTCAATATATATACACAAGACTAAATACAGATAAAAAAGCGCTGCTAAAGGAGGGGGAATAGACAGCACTTTTCATGAAAGCGCTGTCTAAAGTGATTGGAAAAAAAAATAAAAAAATAATAAGGAAAAGCGCTGCTAAAGGGGGGGGGGGAATAGACAGCGCTTTTCATGAAAGCGCTGTCTAAAGTGATTGAAAAAAAATATATTAAAAAATGAAAAGGAAAAACGTTGCTAAAGGGGGGAATAGACAGCGCTTGATAAAAGCGCTGTCTAAAGTTCCACATTAAAAGCGCTGTCTATACTTTTAGCAATGGAGGTTTTAGCAGCGCTTTTAAGCACTGTTAAAGGCCTAAAAAAGCGCTGTCTACTCTCTTATTTGACATAGTGTATTTTGATCTAGTGGTATGATTCTTGCTTTGGATGCGAGAAGAATGTCATATAAAAATGTTGCATTGTTGTATGAGAAGAAGTGTTGGGCGTGTGAGATCTAGTAGGAGTGAGATCCATCAAAATGCAGCACTGGATGAGGAAGAATCTCCAACAAAAAATTAGGTGAGACGTGTGAATGAAATAATATTATGTAGATGCTTTTGATACTTTATTTTGGGTGTAAACCAAAGGTATCATTGAGTGTAATCGTAGAACTATTAGATCTATTTAAGAAGTTGATCTCTCGTGGTTAATATTTTTCTATATGCATCAACTAAGAGTCTAGCTCCCGACCAAATGATTTAAAGATTCAAGTATCGAATACTTGCCACTGCCATTGGTTAATTTTTTGATACCTAACCTAGAAAAACTTGTTAGCTTCATTGGAATCGGAAGCTACATCCAGTTGTTTCATTTTCATGAGAAGACACATATGGTATGCATAAGCAAATTCCCTTGAATGACTGGGTTATTTACTTTAAGTGTTTTACAGTGCAGTACAACATTCTAATAAATTCATAGGGCAAAAGCTGAAGTTGAGAGCTTCAGTTATTTACCTTAAATGCTTTACAAACCAACAAATAACTGACTCAATGTTAGTGGAATTTTTGCATGAGATCATGTAGCAACAAACTTCATGATAAAATATGTGTATATATATTTGTATATAAGTCTCACATAGGGATGACAATTTGTATTCATTAAAGGGGATTTCTGGGAAAATTTCCCGTTTAAGGTCCCAAAGATGAGAAATTTTTCTTTCATGGAGATGGAGATGGAAATAAAACTCCTCCGAAAACACTTTGGAGATGGGAATGACGAACATATCTCATGTCCCGTGGAGTCTCCGTCCCGCACTAGAATTCCATAATATTATTAATTAATATATAATTTAACATTTCTATATAGGTTTATTTATCATTTCAAATAAAAGAGAGAGAAATCTAAATGACTATTTTAATTTTTTTTTTAAGTTTAAAAATCGTGTTCATGAATCTCAAGATTAAATATTGTTAAAACAATATATTTATCGTAGATGATTAGTTTATTAATTTCTTATTGTTAGTTTTTGAATTTTTTCTATTAATTTAGTTATAAATAATAAATAAAAATTTATGTTTATAGATATCCGCAAAAAATAGAGGGGATCCATGGGGACGAGGAGGGAGGCAAAATTCTCCCGTGGCGGGGATCTAATGCAGGGGTGGGGAGTAAATTCGAGGGTGGAGATTGAGCTAGGAATGTATCCTCTGCCCCTGTCCCGTCCCATTGACATCTCTAGTCCCACTTCACTAACCTTGATCCACACTAAGATCCACTCTCACTCTCCTATCTAGCCAACCAGTGCTCTGATACCACTTGTTGGGAGGTTTGGGAAGCGAAATCCGAAAGTGTCAATAGGTCAAACATTCATGGTCACAAGAGATCTTGACGCCACATATTCTTCCAAAATCTTAAGACAATTGGGATATAGGTCACGTCTCTTCACACTTGAAACACAACAACCCCTACAAATGTGAGTCATCTACATATATAAATACATATTCTATTAACAAATAAATACATATTCTATCATAGATCAAATACTAGCGATTCTTATGCTATAGTTTTGAAATTAAGAAAAACATATAAATTATAAAACAAAGCAAGGTAAGAATCATTTTTACTTCCTTTTCTTTTTATACAACAATAACTAAATAATACATGCTTTCTTTTCGTGAAGAAAATGCTATGAACTAAGAATATTACTTGATTTCACTCACATAATTGAATTCTAGACATAGTTTGCTTTTTTTCATTTCGCATATTTCTTTCACATTTGATGTTTTTCTTTGGCCATAGTTTGCTTGTGTGTTGGACAAAGTATTGGAATCTAATTAAGTTTATATATACATCATCTTATCTTTATGTTATAATGAAACAAAGTATTGTATCATTATAATAGTTTTGAATTTCTACAATATATACTTTCTCTGAAAAATTTGTTCTAATTGGTAAGTGTTTGTTATTATTATTTTTCATCATATATGTAATTAATAAACTACTGGCCAGTTCAACCTAATCATTAGTAATTTCTTGTGAATATCAGTTGTCTACGACAATAATCATTCATTATAATCAGCAACCACCATTTCTCATTTCTGATCTTGAATTGCTCATTCTGGTAAGATTTTCTAACACATTGTTAATTTTTTTTTTTGTTTTCCATGTTTTATTTGTTTATTTTCTACATGCTCACAGGACTATTTTTGTCAATTTCTGTAAGTAATATGCAGTTTGGCTAGTTAGCATTTTTAACTATGATTAATAGCTTTGAACTTCATATTTTCTTTCTTTTTTTTTCCTTTACCAAATATTAAGAAACTCTACAATGTTTTTTGAAGTATAATTTCACAATTACGTCAAAATTTATCAATATAGTCACTAAAATGAGAATCACAATATTCTAATGGTCATTGCATGGAGCATTATTAGAAATTGGTTAACCACGTTGGAATCAAAAAGTAATGTCTAATCTTACTATTAATAAGTAATGAAGTTTGCGAACTAGACATCAATATTTATCGGATTCTCTTAGTGACT